CACACACACACACACACACACACACACACACACACACACACACACACACACATATGTATAATATATAGAATAGGATTGGATATGAATATTGCAGATAATATTGTATAAGCATCCTATATATTTCTATAATCAGTAATGCCAACTGTTGTAAAAAAATGTATTTGTCTTCGCAATATTTCAATATGCTGCAAAGTTCGATCTGAATTTAAGTACATCAGATATCATATTAAATATTTATCATATTAAATAGGTAGATACGTTATTTTTTTTTACTTTTTACATTTTTTTCTCTAACTTTATAAGGTCCCCAATCTACATTTTCAGATAAGATATTTTGTTCTGCATATTAATATTTATAATTAATATTTGTAAACAATATTGAGTCTAACTTCATAAAGTCTTGAGATCATTATTGATTTATTAGACAGAGAGTTTTTCGGATAAATATGCATGATTGGCTATTATATGAGCATTTCATTATTCCTTATCGTACACAGAAAAAAGAGTCTGATGAAGGGTGAACCACGACGGCAATTAGTGTTCATTTCTTTAAAAATATATTGCGACAATAATAAAACAGGCAATGCTAGCAGTACTAGCAATACACTAGCAATATGTTAGGAATACATAGTAGTACATAGTAATATATTAACAATACTTTACAATATTGCGCACAATAGGTGGAAATACATAGGATAACAATATTAACAATACAATAGTCATTCTAACAATAAAATGTATTGTATTGCCATAACTAACAGTGTACATTTTTTTAGCTATGGTTAACCTTCTTAGAGTTTGGTAATATGTAGCTATGATGAAATAATGCCAATCGAATGATTGGTTAATATAATCAAAAATAATGTTATTTTTATAAATATTTAATAAGTATAACCAAACTATTGTCGCATAAAGTCAAAAAACGGGAGAGATATCAAAGTGAGTACGTGGAACGTTCGAAGTCTTTACAGACCTGGGGCGTTTCAATCGATGGTCGGGGAGGTCGAAAAGTACGGGGTAGAAGTTGTCGCGTTGCAAGAAACAAGATGGGCCGGGGAAGGTTCGCTTAATGCGGGTTCGTACACGCTTCACTATGGAGGGTCGGAGATCCATAGTCTTGGCATCGGTTTTATGATTAATAGGAAAATCTTATCCGCGGTAAAAGACATTAAATTTATAAACGAAAGATTAGGATTGCTCGTTGTGCAGGGCCGATGGTACAAGATCGCGATAATCAACGTACACGCGCCGACGGAAGATAAAGATGGCGAAATTAAAGACGAGTTCTACGAAGAACTCGAACACCTCGTGGATCAATTACCGAACGATTACATGAAAATAGTCGTGGGAGATTTTAACGCGAAAATCGGTAAAGAGGACATTTTTAAACCAACGATCGGGCTCGAAAGTTTGCACGAGGAAAGTAACGATAACGGAGTGAGGGTAATTAACTTTGCGACCGGCAAAAATCTTATCGTCAAAAGCACGTATTTTAGACACAAAAATATCCATAAACAAACTTGGATTTCCCCGGATGGAGGCACGCGTAACCAAATTGATCACGTTCTTGCAGATAAACGGCGTCACACGAACGTACTCGATGTCAGGTCTTATAGGGGGGCGGATTGCGACTCGGATCACCTCTTTGTAATTGCCAAAATCAGGGAACGTCTTTCGCTAAACAAAACTAACGGGCAGTTGTTTGGAACTAAACGTCTAAATGTACAAGGTTTGATCGAGGGAGAAAACGGAATAAAATACGCGGTCGAAGTAACGAATAGACTCGCGGCTTCAAAGGAAATAGATGAATCGGATGATAACACGGTTGATAAACACTGGGAAAACGTACGAGACGCGATAGTAAAATCGGCGGAGGCCACGGTTGGTTTTTGTAAAAGGAACAAAAACAAGCCGTGGTTTGACGAAGAATGCGTAAAAATTGTTAAAGTACGAAACGAAGCGCGCATCACGTGGTTGGCTCAAAATACGAAGGAAACTCGGGATCAGTTTCTTAAGATTAGGCAAGAGGCTCATAATATGTTTAAAATTAAGAAGCGTCAATACTTAAAACGTAAAATTGAAGAAATAGATGAAAATTGTAAAAGCAGTAACGTACGAGGCACGTACATGGGGATAAATAATTTTAGAAAGGGATTCCAAGCTAGGACGGAAATGGTGAAAGATGAGAACGATAATTTAGTTACGGATACAACGGCAGTTTTAAACACATGGAAAAATTATTTTGATCGGTTATTGAATGTCGAATCTGAAAACGACCGGGAAATAGAGAATTTTGAGTATCACACGGCTGAACCTAGGATTAACGAACCGACAATTTCAGAAGTAGAAAGCGCGATTAAAAAATTAAAAAATCACAAAGCACCGGGTAATGACTTGATTCCGGCGGAACTGATTAAATGGGGGGGAAGTAGATTGATAGAAGAAATTCAGAAATTAATTATCTTAATATGGAATAAAGAAGCATTGCCGGAACAATGGAAAGATTCAATTATAATCCCGATTTTCAAAAAGGGGGACAAAATGAGTTGTAATAATTACCGGGGTATCTCACTTTTACCTACATGCTATAAAATTCTGTCGAATATTTTATTAATGAGGCTTGTACCATATGCAGATGAGATAATTGGAGATCATCAATGCGGCTTTAGGAGAAATAGATCGACTGCGGACCAAATCTTTACTATTCGGCAAATCTTGGAGAAAAAATGGGAATTCGACCAATCGGTACATCAACTTTACATTGATTTTAAAAAAGCGTATGATTCGATAAAACGGGAGAAAATGTATGAAATTTTAACTCGGTGGGGGATACCCAAAAAATTGGCTAACTTAGTCCAAGTTTGTTTAAAAGATACCAGAGGTAGAGTAAGAATAGGTAATCAAATGTCGGAAACTTTTAATATTCATAGCGGATTAAAGCAGGGGGATGCATTGTCACCTCTTCTGTTTAATCTAGTATTGGAATATGCTATTAAAGAAATGCAGAAGAGTAATGATGGTTTGCAGTTGAACGGTACAACACAAATATTAACATATGCGGACGATATTGCTTTGTTGGGAGATAATAAAGAAACACTAATAAATAACGCTAAAATTCTATTAGATAAAACGAAAGAACTGGGGCTGCAAATAAACGTTGAAAAAACTAAATATATGGTCACTGATAGAATTCAGAATATTCATAATAACGGAAACCTGGTCGTCTGTGATAAAATTTTTGAACGGGTTAGCAATTTTAAGTATTTAGGATCGATTTTAAACCAAACTAATGAAATAAGAGAAGAGCTCAAGAGAAGAATTAATTTGGGGAATGCGTGCTTCTATTCGGTTAAGAAACTACTCGGTTCGCGGATATTGTCTAGGCGCTTAAAAATTAGAATTTACAGAACGATTATTTTACCGGTAGTCCTTTATGGCAGCGAAGCGTGGTCACTTACATTACAAGACGAGAAAAGATTTAGGGCTTTCGAAAATAAAGTACTTCGAAAAATCATCGGGGCAAAACGCGATGAGGAAACGGGCGAATGGAGAAAATTACACAACGCAGAATTACATCAATTATATAATAGTCCGGATATTATTAATGTCATAAAATCGCGTCGATTAAGATGGGCAGGTCACGCGGCGCGTATGGATGAGAATCGAATTGCATATAAAGTACTAATTGGTAAACCGGATGGGAAAAGACCATTGGGTAGACCAAGACGTAGATGGGAAGATAATATTAGAATGGACCTTAACAAAATGGGGTACGAGGGTCATAAATGGAGGGATCTTGCTCAGGGACGGAAACAGTGGCGGGATTTGGTATTTGCGGCAAGGAGCTTTCGAGTTCCTAACGCCTAATAATAATAATAATAATAATAACCAAACTATTACCATTTGGTAATACTCACTAAATATTTGTAAATGTAACATTATTTTTTGGTTTTATTAAACAAATTTAATTGATTGGCATTTGATTGGCATTTATTCTAATAAAATGTTTCATATATATATATATATATTTCAATCTTTCATTTCTGCATAATTTCTTACAAAAAGTTTCCTGTACTTATATTACCTCTATGGATGCTCATATTAACCTATCTAAAGAGTGATATGAGCAAAGTGATATGATTGGGCGAGTAATAAGAGCACTCACCATCATTTCAAATATTTGCATTAAAATAATCAATGTTAATACTAAGATACAAAAAACCAATTTATCAAATGGTATGCATAAGATTTTTATATTCTTCAGTATGTGAGATATATCAAAATGTTTCCTTAAGTGCTCATAATACCCAATCCTACTCATATTTGAATATATTATTTGTTACTTTACAGCAAACAACAAATATAAATACAATATTACGTCAAAGTAATATGTCCAGTCAAAGTAAATAATGTAACAGATGTTACACTCTATTTATATTATAATTATATAACTACTTTACATATATAATACAACCGGGTTATGAAACTACTTGTTCCGTTATTTATATTTTATAATAAATGAACAGCAAAATAACGGCATTCATTGCATGTTACATAACAATTGCTTCGTTAAAATTATAATACTATAACAGTAGTCGGAATTAATTGCTCATTTCGGGCCGATTCCTAAAGCGACGCTCATTGTTCCCCCACTATTGCTAGCCGCTCGACGATCGAGTTGCCGATTACGCGGCTGGCGCTATGCCTCAGGAGTGTCTCTTAGTGCAAAATACACTGGTAACGTACCTTTAGAAGAAATTTGTAAAAAAAATTTTATTTTTAACATAATTTTTATAAATAAAATTTCCGATTATTTAAGATATACCATATATTTTTTGCATTAATATAAATGACAATAATATACAATAATTAGAATTAAGATATTTTTTCATCTTTGAGATAATATTGTAGATGTGTTTTTTTTTTAGTGATTTGTGCCCCGTATGTCTATTCCACTAAAAAATATTGTAGAAGATGATAAAATATACGGCTCGAGAGTAAAATATTCTAGTACAAAATATTTAATTAAACACAGACATTATACTAAAAAGAAGGAATTAATATTCACAATTATTCTTACACTATTATTCTTTGCTTATATTTTTATACGTAGCATTATGAAACATTGCACTATCGCATGTAACTATCTCACACGTAACACTATCATATGTAGTCTTACGTCCGGACTCCACAGTTCTTTTCTTCGACTAAAACTTTCATTATCACCATAAGAATTATTAACAAGTAACACCGGTAGACCATCTGTTTCTACCATGAGAGGTTACAATAGCGACAAGCCGAATAACATTTACCTTTTTGAACTAATAATCCACTCGGGACAGAGTTGTTGGATTAGATATTTGCACCAAATGCCGAATAGGCAAACTTTATTCCGAGGAACAGGAAGAATAAATAGATTAGAATTATAAAACAGCAGTTGTCTGTATTATTACATATTATTATGTGTCATTTATATGACACATGTGGCTCTAAACTATTGGACATCTATTGACAAATGGTTGATGACGAAAGTTGTATTAGACACATAGCCCTGTATCCCATTCCACAACCGATATCCTTAATCCTAAACCTAGATTAGACCATCAGCACACGCAAGCTCTGCACTTGGCATCACTAACTCGCCAATATAAAAAGAGGTTCTCCACGAGGAACGTTTAGTTGTCAATCAATTTCCAAATTTTACTCTGCCGGTCTCAATCATAATTTCAACTTCAAACCACTCACTCTGTGAGTCGAATTTCACTCTGCCGGTTCGTAGACACCTCCGATCAATTCAAGTTATTCTGTCGCTCCGTAAGCACATTCCGTATATACACTTTACCGGTTTATAACACTCTACTGGTCTCCCAGTAAAAGTGCGTAACACTAAGTGAGACGTAACCACATTGTGCGACTCAACCGGAACCTCCACATCTGAGTGGCAACCCTCTCCTGTGGAGTGTTTGATCATCAAAGGAATTGGGCCATTGGATCCATTCTCAATCCGCAGAATATCAGTAAGTCCCATTCTGACTCACACATACACACACGCGCGCGCGCACGCAAACATATATATATATGTGTATTATTATTATTATTATTATTATTATTATTAGGCGTTAGGAACTCGAAAGCTCCTTGCCGCAAATACCAAATCCCGCCACTGTTCCCGTCCCTGAGCAAGATCCCTCCATTTGTGACCCTCGTACCCCATTTCGTTAAGGTCCATTCTAATATTATCTTGCCATCTACGT